ATGATCGTTTCTTTTGAAAGCGTCGACAGATTGGACTTCTATCACGTGTTTAGGATACGAGTTTCATTCGTTGAAGATTCAGATTAGATTTGCTTATTGCAACTGGGTGCAAATGGTTCTGGACGGAATGGGAGTTTTCGCCTGACCTGTTTCAGTATCTGGTGGCAGTAGATCACCAATGTCTCCAGGTAGAAACCTAGGTATACTTAACGAAAAAAACAGAAAAAAGATCAGTAATTTCTAGTGAGTCCTTAACAATATGTCAAGTTTTCTCTTAACAGACTCAGGTTCAGATTTCAGACTTGAGTAAGGACAGAAGGCCTACGACCTATGTTTTCCTTTTCTAGTATGCTTCTATGGGTATTCAGTCTTCTCTTGAATAGGTCAATTGAGGGTGCAGACACCAGTGCTTTGGGTAATAGGTTCTAGGAATTTACGACTCAGTGTGAAAAACTGTATACCACAGGTATTTTATTCTTCTATAGCTTCTCTACTCGCCTGCTGTGTCCTCTTAGATGTACCGATCTAGTGGGAAGAAAAAGAGAATATATTAGGTCCCAAATTATTTCTTAGTGTTCTATACATCAAATTAGATCGCCCCTTAGTCTGTAATAGGAAAGTGTAAAGAGGTTGTAACCGTAAATAAATCCCCAAAATAAATAGCTCTGTAAGTCTTCGATATTGGGTCCTGACCACATTCGTTCTAATGAACTCACCTAGCTGAAGGCGCTCGGTCGTGAGTCCGCACCAGATCACGAGTGGGAACGCCGTGCTCAACATCCCGTGCAATCGCTAGCCAGTATAGATCAGTCGATCCTCGATATATTGATAGCCAATCAAATATATCTTCGAACCCCCTCGCTTCTGTCTTTTGATTTTACTTGGTGGGTACGGTTCATAATAGGTGTTACTGGCTAAAGCGTTGTCAAACTAAATACCTGTGGCATTTTCAAGGTTTAGCTTTTCAAACCCTTCTTGTATGGTAAACCCCGAAGTTCTGGAATTGCACGGGTTGCTGCCCTCTGTACAAGTAACCGTCCTCTGAACTTTTTCCAAGATATCCAAGTCACCTTTTAAACAGGGATCTGCAGTCTGAATGTAGTTCCAAAGGTTGGATATTACTAAGGTTGTGTATACTTTAGTGAACATGTTGGTGTACAACTTGATAAATATCCATCTTAAAGCCTATAGAGTTCTGAAGCACTTATCCGAGACCTCGCGGTAGTGGGGCGTGGTCTTAAAATCATGACTCACTATCACTCCACGATCCTTGTGAGACCAAACTATTGGAACCGATTCTCCTCCCATGCTGAACGTATTTATCTTTTTATCCACAATGTGCATGTAGGCACACTTGGACTCGTTGATAGGCTCCAGTCATTTTTTAGTCCACCTAATTGGGACATCAAAGTCCTCCTGAAGTGCAAGCGAATCTGCGTCTCTTGTTGTTTCTCTCTAGGTTCTTACAATATCGGCATACAGTAGCATCGGAGACTCAACTACACTTGGGATTTCATTTAAATACAGTATAAAGAGTAAAGGACCAAGGGCTAAGTCTTGTGGAACCTCACTTAGTATTGGATTCTAGGAAAAGCATTTGGAATATGTTCTTACTTTCTGTCTATGATCTACCAATCAATCCTTAATACTTTTTTGGGGGAAATTCCCATATTTTCCAGCTTCAAGTGTAGTCAATTCTTCCGCACCTTATCAAATGCTTTACTGATGTCTACATAGACAACGTCCATCCATTTTCCATTATCCACAGCCTCTATCTATCGCTGTCTTGCTATAAGGAGATTTCTCGTGCAAGCTAATTCTCTCCTGAAACCATGTTATTCGCTGTCCAACAAGGTGTTGGGTCCCATGGACATCATTGTGGCCCTTTTACTGTTCCTTCCAGAATCCTAACCAAAACAATTGTGAAGCACGCAGGTTTGAAGATTGATGGGAGTTATCTTGATCCAGGTTTATGTATTGGAATAAACGTTGCATCCTTTCAGTCAATAGGTAACTCGCCTTGGCCAAGTGACATATTGAATATCGTAGCCAGCAGGACAGCAGTGTATTATGCTATTTGTCTCTGAATTTTAAGGTGTGGTTCACACTGTTCTATTGGATTTTCCACGTCTAAAGTGCTAAGGGCCCTCAGTACGTTGTCTCTATCAAATTTCACAGTGAGCAGCCGACTTCGTGACTTGGTATTTGGATCTAGTGTTAGTTGTGTCCATAACCAACCAGACGAATCGTTACCTAAGTGCCCACCACGTCAATCTGGTCTGACATTTCGGTAGACTATCCCTGTTGCCTGTGATATGTCAATTGAGGGACTGCTTTCCCATTGTAATAATGGGACTCATTATTTTTATTCATTTCTAGAAGACACGCAATACTGGTCGGTACGTTTTTGTGTTCCACTTAATGACTATAATTCCTTTAATTATTGTACTAATCTGATTGTTTTTACGTTTAGAAACAGATAAAGTTTCAAACTAAGTTGTCCATGTTCTGGGTATAGCCTTCGCGTTTACAGTTCTAGTAGTATATCTGTAGGACAACTTATATCCCACATCTCGTCCCTCGTCTAGAAGAGGCTCCTGAATGAAAACTGTCCCCGAACAGTTCGCCGTGGCTCCTTCTTTGTCCTGGTCTTCGTCCGTAATAAGTTGTGGATCCAGTGGTGCACTCTTGTTCCATAATTTATGTACAATAACAGTCTCTTACGACTGACTGATTACAGATAGGATCAACTGTTTCTTTTATTTTCACTTAGCTGCCCGATTTGTACTGGCACACTTTTTTAGAACGACATGTAGTATTCTGTAGAATTATGGTCTACTAGGATATTAGTACTGCTCTAATAATAGACCTAATCCTAAATTTGTAGATCTGTGATGATATAACTGCCTAATCTATAAGATTTTACGTGGAAGTCACACCATCGACTACACCAACTCACTGTATCGTATCAATTATCAATACATGATGTAGAACAAGGTTAGGCTAGTGAAAGAACAATATATTTAATATGAATAGAAGACATAAGGTAACATTCAGCAGAGACCACGCCCACATGGCCGAACCATGCCATTCGATCAACTCCAGTCCATTCAATTCCTTGTTCGCGCCTTCTCCATCGTTAGGTATTTCTCCGCGTTAAGTATTAAATATCTATTTTCTGAGTAGTCTCGTGTTCAGCTTTGTGGATTATGTGGTTATTGGCCAATGCCACTACAATTCCACCACATCTGGTGTGACAAGGCCGATAGAGACACTTTTACACTTATTTTACTAGGCGTCTAATGGTGTTAATTGCCTTCATGTCTATCTTCTATATGTTGAGCTGGACCAGTGCAAGTTCTTGAAAGATCATATTAGCCATGAACTTGAATGTGATGACCATATTATGTATTACTCCTACAGGTATCTGAAATGCAATCTGACTGACATCACGACTGTGAGTGAAGACCAAGTCCAAAACACACAATGAGTTTTGTAGGTCATATCTAGTGGGGCATCATATGTGCCGGAATCAATCTAAGGTAGTTGGGGTTTCTAACAATTTGTAATCAAGCGACTTTTTTGATGTCCCTACTTATAAGTTCTTCCAATATGTCATGAGTGTAGTAAAGTCATCTACTACAGTACTTTCACATATATTTGACCAGGATTTAAGTTTACTTAAGATGAAGTCACCAACTACGTATTGTGGACTGCAACATGCTAAAACTAACTCAGTGTTTTGCCCATTGCATTTCAGACGGCACCGCGCTAGCTAACGTGCCTCTGAGTTGTGTGACACTGTCTTGACAGCTCGTGTGGTCAGGGTGTTTATTATTCATTACAAATTCATTTTTTCTTTCAAAATGAAGTCACATCATCTGACGATTTTTCTTTGGAGAACGTCAGCCTTTTATATAACTGCTTCTAATGATCTCCCCTAACATCTATGGGTCTGAGAATATTCGTCGCATGAGGGTTTCAGGATGATGTGGAGTATACTGCATTTCAGTATCTGTTGGTGTATCGTATGGATTGTTCACCGACTTCGTCGTTTCAGTAATCCTTCAAAAACAGGATAAGAATGCGTAGTTTGTATACAAGACTACACTACAAACATTCCAACAACGTATCCTTATTGTCAGAAGTAGGTTTCTCGATCTATTAACACCCCATATCTGCATTACGACCTTCAAGAAGCGTGTTTTCTTGGGATGGAATTCATTTTTCGACAAGCGTTTATGACTTTTCTGGTTTCAGTTAAGTTTTAGTCCGGGCGAAAATTTCGCCATACTGTCAGTGAGAAATAAGACTTTTCTGACTCTACTTAGATTAGGTTTATCTTACAAGTGTAGATTTATGTTTCAGTAGGATTGGTTTCGTTTCATTCTTCTTAGTTGTCAACAGCCTTTTGATCAACTCCGTTTAAAATCATTTAGTAGGGAAATCATATATGAGAACAAGGAGTACTCAGTGAGTGGCACTGCAGGCACATGTGACCAACGTTTTGTCGCGGCGATTTACGCTTTCAGTACGAGACTCGTAGAAGCTTGAAGATGTCAGTTCATTTTACTCATCATATCACACTGCTATTTATTCTGTGTGGCAATAATCTTATCATCAGTAGAAAAAATATTTGGTCTGAACTGTCTTTCGAGGTATCTAGAGATTATTTATCAAATGCCAAAATATAGAGGATACGTTAACTTTAAGTCAAATAATCAAACTGGGTATTTGAAGCTACATTAAAATGGACGTACTCACGAAAAAGTACGTACACGAGTGGCACATGTGTGTTAGCCACTTTTGATGAAAACAATCACGACCGAAAAATTTATTACGTAATTAAAATACCTCTCTCTTAAGAAACCCATTACTACTGCAGCTTACTAGCTAGACTGAACTAATTTTATACCACGGGGATCAGTGAACACTACTGAACATCAAGATTTTAGGGCAGTTAATAACATTGTTTAATATTAGTGTGCCAAAAATATATTGGATATAGAACCACAGCGTGACCTTGCACTAAGTTTATGGCGGCTTGATCCGCCATTGGTACTGGTTAACAAAGTGGGTTTTTCTTTAGCCACCTGTAGTTGTTGTATTAGCAGTTTTCTTAGAGATATCTCTGTTTGTTTCTGACAAAGTTGACTCGTCGTCTAGCGGCAGTGAGGTTTTGAGAGTCAGTTTGGTTCCGACTATGTGAATCTCTTCCAATGAGTCACTAATTTATGTAGTCAAATTGTTTCTTTTCTGCATTGAAATCCAAGACTAAAAAATGATGTTTTTGGTTACAGATGTTTCGTCATCTCAGTGAACATATGCTTTTGTAGGTTCTGCCATGCCAGGCAGGTCGATTGGAGAACGGTAAGACTAAAAGCAGCAACTCAAGGTCTGAGGGCGAAGTCGTACTGCTGACTGTAGAGGGGTGTGACAGCAGTAAGGTGTTTCCCTCGGACAACCAGCATCTACAGCGATGCTACCTTCTCACAAGGAAGGAAGGGGTTAGAAAAGGTCGACCCTAAAAATGTCACACTTCATCTTACCTCACGGATTTCCGTCTCCGGAGGTAAGGCTCTTTGAAGAACGGAGCTAACACATTAAAAACCTTCCGCGAAAAGACCGTGCGCGACCGGCCTCAAGCAGTTGTCCCTTGGGCTCTCCGGTCACGCTCCCAGGTCTTTAAGACCAACACTAATTCAATTTCCTTTTCAAGTTCCTCAAGAGATACCCTTCCACTGTGTGGGCAGCCGGGAAGTGACACCAGCCCCCATAACCGTAACAGCACACGAGACCAAGTTGGTCACATTCAAATCCTTCCTAAACCTCCTTATACCACTCTTATCTCCCCGACTAACCCTTCTCACGTCCTTTTTTCACCTCGCACCGCTAGGGCAAACGATTTGAGTACGTGGAACGCTATTCCTGGTCTCCTGAAACCACGCTCTAAACTACACGTAGGAGCTTTTAACGTCCGAACACTGTGCCAAATTGGACAACAGGCTTCCTTAGCTAGGACTTAAGAATACCGCGATTGACTTGCCTCCACGAATGCAACTGGTGCTGTATTTTCATCATTGCTCATAACGTCCAACTACGCGATCATTTACCAATTCGAAATTTCATAATTGCTGGTCCAATACCCCTGACCAAGTGGTAAAAGTATATCCGAGCGAATACGTAGCCTGTCCCTAGCATCCACAGTTTTTGGCCCCTAGCCTGGTTAATTAGCTTGACATATTTTGCTCCCAGGCCAAGTATTCCAGTCTTTAATGCATCATGATTAGATCTTTTGCTCTATAAATTATGTCTGACAGTTCTGGCTACTAAGTTCATTAGCTGCCTAAAGAGGTATTCACTGTATACGTAATATATGTTAAGATGCTCATTCTTCATACAGTAATACAAACCGCTAAAGTAGTCAATACAAAGCCATCTGGTCCAAAAAGAGCGTAGTCATTCGAGTTGAAGGAGTTGTCACGTACCACTTTATTTGCTCGTTTCATTTAAGATATCCTTACAATGAAAGGATATTAAATAAGAGACCATATTATTACTTATGAGGGGTAGCATGCAAATGGTGTTTGTGGTGGTAATAGACTAACTAGACTCAAGGTTCTCATTCATTCCGACCGTAAAGATCAGCCAGTTATAAATGGTTACCGACAGCGATTATTTGAAATCCTGGAAAACGAATTCAGTAAAAATCTGTTAATCATGTAGGAATGTGTTTGGTGAGAGTTACCTTGTATGTAATAGCCAATACCGTCACAAAGTATTTCCACAACGGTATGCTTCTTTCTGTCCGAGTTATCGTAATTTACAAGAGTAGAAGATATTCGTAGGTCACTAGTATTCGATCGTAGGTATCTTCGAAGCCTTGCTCGTATATCCTGGGACCACTAAGTAAGTCATGCGGTTGTTAGGGGACGGGTACTAGGTAAGGATGGCAAATCAATTGATGAAGTAGTGAAACTTCTTCAGCAGCGGCCAGACCAAAACGTGGCACAAACCAATGAAGTCACTGACAAGTGGACTGAGCCATGTTGGTAGGTATAGACTACCTGGTTGGGATCCGCTAGACGGCAGCAACCGATGGTTAGGCCTTGAATGAAAATCTTTTGCAATGACACAGGTACATCCACTCGTTTTGTTTTCCCAAATTCTAATCTTCTGAATTCTTATGTCCATTTTTTCTCTTATCAAATTTATTTCACTGGATTATACTCTTTGAATAACATCTTCAAACCCTAATTTTTCCGATTACTGCCTATACTTTTACTACCTCTCCCACTAAAGGATTTGAATCGACAATTGTGTCTCTGTGTTAATGTGGTATGGTAACTCGAACTAATGTACGTACGTACGAAGTTCTTTGTTGACTGACTGACTGAATTCACAACAGCTTTTGAGGAAAAACTATCATTCTTATGTTATCAGTAGCAAAGGAAAAATCAAGTTGTACCAAGCTGTAATAGTACAGTGGTGAAAATTGTTCCATGTTTCCTTTTTTCTCCAGACCTTTTTAAACCATAATCTCAACCTATAGTCTTCCACAGAGACATTGATACTACCATCGTTTCGATCCTTATGTTATTCATCTTGCTAGATTATATTATAATATGTCAAATCGAGCTAACGCTCATTTTCCCCAGGTTTTGCCTTGTTTGTAGCTGCCTGTCGTTTCTAACCATAAGTCACGGTTACTTCATTGTGCCTGATCTGTAACCTGCGCCAAGGCATGTCAATTATTTTTTGAATTTTCAGTTGGACGTCAACAAGTAAGCCCGTTTGTTTGCTAATTACAGAACATGAAGTGGAAATGATCAGATTGTGTTCTGTTTTCGGACTTCGATCTATGTTAGCAACAGATTCAAAAACATTTCCTGTGTATCGTGGTTGTTTGGTTCTATACGTACATTCGAAAAAAGTTTAAGGGGACCATGTAGTGTTAAAGCCATTGACAGATTATTTTGGTAAGACAACGTAAAGTCTTCAGTAAGTTGCTACGGAGTGATAATTCAGTCTGTGATTGAATTATTAGTAGATTTCGCTACTAACCTTGTAATTTATTTTTATTTAAGTAAATTTAGAGAGATGGAGTTTGATGTATTTGAAAAGTTAAGTGAACTGGAGACTGAAATCCACATTTTGAAGAAGGAACTGGAAGAAAAAGATGCATTCATTCAAAACCTGATGGACAAAAATACGGACTTAGAACGCCGTCTACTATCTCTCGATCAAAACAATGTGACCGGTGAAAATAATTTATCACGTGTAAAAGAGATTGCTCTCAACGGTTCTAATACTACTGATTCTAAAACCTATGGTGCAATCGTGTAGTGAAAATTTATATTCCATTCTTAGGTGCATCAATAGCTAATATGCTTAAAGAAACATCGGAAGCTGTTGTACGTAATACAGGCTACACATTCGACGAACGAACTGGTTTGTATTATGATCATAAAAGTGGCTACTATTATGATCCGGTATGTTATTTTAAACTTTCATTGAACTTCGCAAATAACTTTAGGAAAATCAGTTATTTTACGAACCCAAAACCGGGACATACTATAAGTACAATTCAGAAACCGGTGAATACACAAATTATACTGCATCAGAAGACGATGCTATGAATAGCAAATTCAAGGAATTCTCTCACCCGGTGTATGCACACTTACTAAAGGTAAGAAGTTTCATCCATAAGTGTTGATTATATTTTAAATTTTCACGCGCAAATTTGTTTGCTTAAAACAAATATAGATTGATTGAAAACTTTCTTTTTTGTAATGTTCCAGCCTATTCTGTTTAATTATTTTAGGTCAGTTTATATCGAGTCATCGGATCATCAGTGGAGATACAGTTGTACAGAAAACAATCAAATCCACTCGAAAGAAACAAACATTTGACATTTTATCTCGATTTTCTTACTTACGTACTCTTTTATTTTCATTACTTTTCACTTTCGGGATGTAATTGTTGGGGGTGTTGAATGAAGAAAATGCAACAGCGCCACAAAGCAGAAAAAGAAAACGATCATGGTTACCTATCAAAGACTGTATCTAGACAAAGTCGGTCAACAAGCAGTGATATTGGTCATCGTAGAAGACGGAGAAGTCGTAGTCACTCTGGTTCGCAATACTGTCGTTCATACTACAAACATAGATGTGAAAGTCCATCATTTCATAGACATACAAGGCGCAGACAAAAATCTTACAGATACTCCCATCGTTCTGGAAGTTCTCGTAGTGATGAAAGCCGCTATAAACGTAGTAAACATCGGAGAAGAAAACACTCCCATCGACGCAGGCATCGATCATCTTCTACTACTGGTTCTGTGTGTTCGTACAAAAGTCGAAGTGAGTTCTTCTGAACTTACCGCCCATATTGTGAATTTATCTTCCATTTTTTTGTGTATTAACATTTCCATCCCACTTTTTCATCTTTTAAATTAGTCAATGCGTGAACAAGTTTCCGCTTAAAGTACGTTAATTTATTCAAGAATGCATTTATTCATCGTTTTATTTCTGTACATGAGTTTTGTCAAAATGATGAAGAGGTGCTTTTTCGCTATTTCTGTGTGATGCTTGATTAAAAAGTGAGATATCTGTAAATCCTATCTAAAATGCTTATTAATGTTACTATTGTTATTATTGTTATTATTATTATTATTATCAGGTTAAGAATAAAAATATGTTGAATTTTCATTCAGCAAATCAGTTTTGTTGATATTAGGTTATCAGTTTATTTATATTTTTCCATAGATTATAATTAGTACAATATTTACTACTTTTCGGTGAAATATGTATATACTTGTCAGTTAGCAAAGCTTGATGTGTCTTGTCCTATTTACAAGATTAGTATTTATGATACAAAATACTTTTTCTTTTGTTTATGATGGAAAATAGCGGGTAGCAGTTTCTGGTCTCGATGGCCATGTTTCATTAATAACAAAACTTTTTATGGGTGTACGTGATTAATATAACTGATATTCGTAGTTGAAGTTAGTCCTAACGATATTATTAGCGATCTAAATAGTCTGTAGGTGATATTCCGTTATTATTGTCTTACGAAACAACACTTGCGGTTACGCAGACTAATTTCGAGCAGAAACTATCATCTATTATTCTAGAAATTTTCACACGTTTAAACACTTACATTAACGCTATGGTCTTTACATAGCTGCTTATCTACTAGTTTCATCTCATAACCATCTTTCCCTCGTTACTAAATTGGTCTTTTTATTTCGACTTGTTCATTTTTGAAAAATGTTTTGTAATGTTTTAAAGCTGTACTGTGTTAAATCACTTCAATAATATGAGTAATATTTTAGTTACCAGCCGCTTAATACTTGACAGTTGTGTTGTAGACTATATCTCTTCTATACTTGATAGCACACAAATCTTTATAAACTTTTCGAATGCTTCTTTAATCTCACCAAGATTTACGAGTGCATTAGATAATTTAGAACAAATTATTTTGTTCTTATCATTTATTGCTTTTTTTGCAACTAATGACATGACAGGAAGTACGCTTATATCTCTCAAACGCCGTTTAGTCGAATTAAAAATATTTTCAGATACAATTTGTTTTTTGAACGTAACTAGCCTTTGTTTTAGCTTTAAACGTCCTTTCGAGTTAACATTTGAAAGCAAACAGTCGTCAAACGGAGAGCTCTACGGATTTTACAAGAATCGTCAAGAAAAACCGTAAAATCTAACTGGATGAAAATCAAAGTGAATGTTGTACATTAAATAAATTTCTGGTTAACTATTTTGTCTTGTAAATTTTCATTTTTAGCTGCCAGCCTTATTCAATAAGTTGATTTGTGCTGTTCTTTCAATGACTGGCTATAACGTTTTAAATTTGGGAAATCATCTGTTGCAGTGTATTTGTGTTTCAATGATACAATTATCAATTGCTCAGTGGATACTATCGAAGTTTTTAAAGTAGGATAAATGATTCGACCAATTACAGATGTTCAACAATTTTTTTATTCATATTTCATTGACTAATTCGTTATAGAATTTTATTCGATTTAGTAACTAATTTTGACAGTTAAGATAATCTGACTAGATCCTCAGCCACCGCACTTCGAATTTGTTCTGTTTAGGGTGAATGGATCCATAAAACTTTTAAACCATCGAAACAAAAGCTTAGTTTATATGTAATTGTAAATTCTGACAAACATTTATTCTTGTAGCGGCGTATATCAGTATGATTAGGTTGTGATAGCGAATTTCGAAATCCCTATTTTTTTAGTATCAAGTAAGTTAATGTACGAAATACGAATCTTTAAGTAGTTTCTCCTATTTCTGAACGCAGTCATATTTTACATGTGATGTACGTTGCCGAAGACTAGTGTGTAGTATCTAAACCGTCGTACTAGAACTCATGTAAAAATGTGGATTCGAGTGCTCCCACAATTTACCGCTCACTGCTTTATGATAGGTTTTTACTCCAAATTAGCTTCATCGCATAAATCTGATTTTCTTTCAATAAGTAAAGTTCGTTTTAGTTTTAAAGAAGTAAGCACTGTGTACATCTTAGTGCATAGCACTGAATATGCACCCGTTGCACACAACTAGTAGCTCATGGATAGAGTGATATTTACTTTGTACCAAATAGTTTAGATAAACAAAGTAGTATTTTGTTTATTAAATTTCATTTTCCTCTAAACTGTTTACATTTATTTGGTACCACGCGAGTAAAACTTCAATCTTATTGTGTCTTTTCTTTCATGACCTTAGTACGTGTATGTAAATGAGAGAATTGATGTGGTAGAATCATAATTGAGTCTTCCTGATCCGTTTATCATGTTGGGTGCTTAATATCGAATCTGTCAACAATTTTCGATCTTTGAAGTAAGCGTATTGTTTTAAAGTATCCCTAGTAGTTATAAGGGTCGGCGGAAGTAAGTAAAACATAAGGATTGGTATATTATCCACTTATTATTTATGGATTGATATGTTTTGGGCCAATTATGTTTGAAGGGTAAACAGGATAGCAGTTCTTCACCATGGATAATATTGATTCAAGTAAGTCAATCAGTCATAGTGAACCTGGCACGAATGTGTACATGTTAATTCAAAGTAAGTCCCGGATTTGCAGTCCTATATTTCACAACGTCGTTAGCTAAGTTGTTGGCTAGATGGTCTCTAGGCTGATTTTCTTAAATAATCAGGCAATAGGCAATAATTTGTCAGGCAGGTTTGGGTCATAGATATGATCACCGTTCGATCTACACTCCTTAGTTGTGGTAGAAAGGTGATTTAGCTAACCCTTTCCCATACTATAATACAAGAAGTTACCTAGCTTTTTATTTCCTTGTGCAAAGTTACTCCTCTCCGATAATCTTTCCTTACTGGCAACCTTTGCAAACGCATGTGGAGATTTTCCTTTGTTCGTATTTCCTCTGTCTCCATGTACATCAAACTTGACATTTTGTCGCTGTGTTAGTTCTCACGTTTAGCTAATTGTTTTCAGCGAGTTCCAGCTATTTCTCGACCACACTTGCGAAAGGCTCTATTCGGTTGATGGAATAATACTTTTAGATATCTGCTTTTATCTCTTATTCTCATCGTGTTAAAAATACCTAACTTGGTTCTGTTCGATGTGTTCGTCAGTGTAATACATTGATCGATGTAAAATCCTTGAGTTGGTTCCTATTTATTGTTTTATTTCAGTCTTTTCTGTGCTACATAATTTCATCATTCACTTTTTATGTTAATCATAAAAATAATTTGGTCAATAGAGTAGATTTTTCCCTAGGCCGTCAATAGTAATCATTTTCCGGAGTGTAGGGATGAATCAGAAGGTACGACTCCATTAATTTATTGCTAATTGACCAACCAAACCTCTGCCTAGGAGTCGGCTTTTTGATTAAATAAGAAATGCTGATTCACATGTATTTATCAGAAAGGCAGTTAAATCATAATAATTTATTTATTTATTTATTTATTTATTTGAACACATAAATATTGGTACAAGAGAGCGCCAATATATATGCGCCACACAAAACAATGGGAATTCGAAGAGAAGAAGAAAAAAAAAAAAAAACTAAGGAACGCAAAAGAAAAAGAGAGTAATGACGATAAGGTACAATCAGAAGAAATCTTTCAGGTAAAGGAGACACAACCACTTTTTATGAAGAAAGTAAAAGAAGGTTACAGCAGGATCGCCACTGGCTTCTATTCTGAGCCATATCTGATAACGTCTCTAGCCACTGTGTAGCACCATCTCTCGGACCCCAACCAGGGAGTCGTGAAGGACCAACACAAGCCAGTCCTTTGCAGCTTTCTTTCATGCCACGACACCATGTCATGCACTGACCACCTCTCCGCTTCTTCCAACCAGTCCCAGAGTCGGCAAATAATGCACGACGTGGAATTCTCTGGGACGACATTCGGAGAACATGTCCAAGCCACCGAAGTCGGTGTTTCAAGATGGTGACACCAATTGAGTTATCATCTCTGTGCCCGAACACACGATGCCGAACCTCTGCATTACTGACATGGTGTTGCCACTGAATGTCAGCAATCCTTCGGAGACAGCGATGATCGAACACAGAGAGTCGTCTAACGTCCTCAACTCGGAGAGGCCAGGTTTCACAAGCATAGAGCAAAACTGCTCTCACCGACGCGTTGTAGATCCGACCTTTTACAGCCAGACTAACATCACGAAGGCGCCAAAGGTGGCCCAGATTGGCATAAGCCGCTCTGGCTTTCACTATTCGTGCATTGATCTCATCACTCACACCCCCACCAGCACTTATGCAGCTACCCAGATACACGAACTTCTCAACTACGTCTATCTGCTCACCGTCCAGGGTGAGTACAGGATTAGAATCCTGCCAGTCTTGTAGAAGTACTTTGCACTTCGAAGGTGCAAAGCACATACCATACCTACGGACACTGATTGCCAACTGATTAAGTGCGGATTGCATGCCTTGGGCATTATCGCACAGTAAGACAATATCGTCCGCATACTCAAGGTCGAGAAGTCTTTCTCCAGGCAACAGATCCACACCACCATTACTTACATTCATCAGAGCTGTTTCCAGAATGTCATCGATGGCAAAGTTGAAGAGGAATGGTGAGATTGGGCAACCCTGCCTAACCCCACTGCTCGAATGGAACAATGGAGAGAGGTGGTTGTATGCCCTCACTCTGCCTGAGGTGTTTTTATACAGGGCTTTTAGGATGTTAATAAACTTCTCAGGCACACCCTTCTTCAATAGACAATCCCAGAGAACAGTCCTATCCAACGAATCGAAGGCAGCCCTGATGTCAAGAAACACTACGATTGTTGGCCTTTGAAAAGTATGGCGGTGTTCTAACATTTGGCGGAGGGTGAAGATATGATCAATACATCCTCGACCAGAACGAAACCCAGCCTGCTCCTCGCGAGTCAATCTTTCTCGGGTTTTGAACAACCTACGAAGAATGACGGAAGCCAATAGCTTGGACGCAATCGGAAGTAAACTTATCCCCCGATAGTTGTTACAAGAACGACGTGAACCCTTTTTAAAGATAGGGACAACTATCGACTCATTCCATGACGTTGGTACACTCTCTAGTTCCCAAACCTTTGTAAACAACGTCGTCAATTCCTTAGTCAAAAAGTCACCACCATCTTTAAAAAGAGCCGGAGGTAAGTCATCTGGGCCAGGTGATTTGTAACGCTTCAAGAGTTGGAGTTCCTTGCGGACTTCCTCCTCATTTGGTGGATCAGTCGTCACCGGCCATGGAGGGCAGGACAGTCTGACCGATGTTGCCGGAGCAGCAGGCCAGTTGAACTGCCCTTCGAAAAATTCTGCCCATCGTCCAAGACGTCGATGGATGTTAGTGATTGGCATCCCATCATCCTCGCAGATTGTTTC